AAATAAAATAAAATAATTAAAAAGTAGACTATCAAACATTTAATATATGGGAATCTTTGGTCCATTTTAGTTAATGTATAGAGACACATTACAGATAGCATTTGAAGATTAGGCAAGAAGTTGAAAATATAGTTTACATTACTGTATCTCAAAAAAGCCACTGTATCATTAAAGAACTAATTCACAGGGAAAGGAGAGGTGGCTCACTGTTTAAGAGGACTTAATGCTCTTGTGGACGATTGAAGTTTCATTCACAGATTTCAAATCAGGGGGCTCATAACCATCTGTAATTCTTGGTCCAGACAATCTGATGCCTTTGTCTAGACTCTGTGATCAACTGGACACAAATAAACATACTCACACAAAGACACATAATTAAAAATTAAAATAAAAATAAAGATTTCAAGAAAGAGACTAACACGTGGGTCCTAGGGAACAAAGAAGTTTTCAGGCTGTCAGCGACGAGCATGTTTATCAGCTGATCATTTCATTTGCCATAATTTTTATAATAATAATTTCATAATTATTATGAAATATAACAACATAATTTCAATGTTTGTGTATCTTTCCTGACATTTGGTAGTAATTAGTAATATGTCTTACATTGTCTTAGACTAAAAAAACTAATATGCATTATTCAGAAATTTTGCTATTTAGTAATAACATAACCATATAATGATTAGCATAGTGTGATGTTTACATAATTTTCCCCATGTATATTAACAAATTATTAATAATGCTTTGAAAAGCATTGCCATTAAAGGCATCTTGATCATATTTTGCTAATTAAATAAAAATATAATTATCTAACTAATTTATGCTTGTAAGTTGATTTTTAATGTTAGAAATGAACACAACAGGGACCATCACGGAAGAGAGAGCAGAGAGATCATAAGAGCCAGGGAGGATGGACCTGACCATATGGAAACAGAGTCCTATAAGCTCCTGGAAACTTGCTCATATGATTCTATGACAGGGTGTTAGTGTATACAAGTCCCATGCAAATTTATGCAGCAGTAACCCAGGATAGAGCTGGGAAAATGAACAGCAGACCCCAATTTTATCTAAAGAAATGTTGTCAACTGATTGCTGCTAGATGAAGAAGAGCTGAAATTCCTAAAACAAGGGACTCTAGATAGGCTGATTAGATTCAGCAGATGGACTTGTACTGGGGAATGACTGGGGATACTGACAACACAGTGTTTAAGACTATGCAGTTGGCCCAAATAAGCCAATTTATTTTTACTCTTAAAGACTGGGAACAGATTCAAGTCCATCTGGTGGGGTCTCCATGGCATCCCTGAACAAGAGAATAGGTAACTCACCACAGTTACAGGACATTTTCAGAGATGCTGCATAGTCTCCTGGAACTTAGTCAACCTTGGAAGGCAAGGAGTAAAATCTAAGTCCCTGACAAGATTAGTATAGGTCTCAAAGTATGGCTGTCAAACATCCAAGAAGGTTAGTTCCACCAGTCTACTCTTTTAATTACCATGTGATATGTAGATAAAGCTTGGGCAAAAACCAAACATTCTCAGATAAACCTCGACTAGTAATATATTTTGTTCCTTGAACAAGTTGTATGTATAATGTGTCAGTAGGTTGTTGTACTAATATGGTTATCTCTGGATTTTTAAAACTAGCTAGACTTTATTTATGTCACTCACTGTCTCACTCTTCCACAATGGCTTCCCATCTTAAAGTGCCCCCATTGTCCCCATTTCTCCCTTGATTACACCCTTCTCCTGTGGTCCCATCTCTCTTGAGCTTCTTCTTTCCCTTTATCCCCAAGGTTGCTTATATAATCCTCCCTCCACCCTCCCATTTAAATAACCACATTTTTATCCATATCACCCTTACTAACATCTGTTTCCTACTGTTCTTCTCTCAGGTTATTTCTTTTCCTTTTCCTCCCTGGTTCCTTTTCATTATCCTGGGTCCTGTAATTATGTCTGGATACATACTCATTTACAAGGATTTGGTGCTAGGATGTACATATGAGGGAGTGCATACATCATTTGTTTTTCTGAGTCTTTGTTACTTCACTCGGTATAACAGTTTCTAGTTCTATCCATTTACCTGCAAATTTCATGATTTCATCTTTCTTTATTGGTGACTAAGAATGTCATTGTGTAAATGTACCACATTTTCATTATCCACTCATCAGTTAAGACCATCCATTTACCTGCAAATTTCATGATTTAATTTTTCTTTACTGCTGAGTAGAACTCCATCTTATAAATGAACCACATTTTTATTATCTACTCGTCAGTTGAGGGACACTTAGGTTGTTTCCATCTCTTAGCTATTGTGAAAGGAGCAGCAACAAACATGGATTTGCAAGTGCCCCAGTATATGGTTGATTTTGGAGAAAGTTCAATGAGGCACTGAATAGAAAGTGTATTCTTTGGTGCTTGGGTGGACTATTCAGTAGACATCTGTTAGGTCCATTTGATGTGTGGTATTGTTTAGTTCAGATGACTCACTGTTAATTCTCTGTCCTGTTGACCTATCTAACGGAGACAATGGGTTATTGAAGTCCCCTACTATTAATGAGTTGGGATTAATCTGGGTCTTAAAAGTCCTGTATATTGTTTATATGAAGTTAGATGCACCAGAGTTTGGTGAATATATGCTCATGATTGTAATATCTTCTTGATTCATTATTCCTTTAATCATAATGAAGTGTCCCTCTTTGTCTCTTCTGATTAGTTTTATTTGAAAGTCTATTTTGTCAGATATTAGAATTGCAGTGCCTGCTTTTTTCTTAGTATCATTTGCTTGCAATATTTTTTTCCATCCTTTCACCTTAAGGTAGTGCCTGTCCTTGAAGGTGAGGTGGGTTTCTTGCAAACAACAAGTTAGAC